CTTGTTTTTGCTCAGAAACAAAGTTCCGCATTTCTTCTCCAGGGACACGGGGAGCTTGATAACCCCCTCGGTTTCCGGGGCCTCCTCTCCACCCACCCACAGGGCCTGTGGGGAGCTCGGGGGAGCCCCGGGGTGAGTGAGTAACACACAGCACCCACCCCTGCCCTCGAGAGCTCCTCGCTCTCTCGCCAGACAAAGCCCAAAATCCGGAGTCGCACAGCTCCTGGTCACGTGTTCTGCTCTCCGAACTCGGTAACATGATGATGAAACTAGCAAGCGGTAGAAGTCGGCCTTCTAGCAGGTTCCGGCCTGTGGGCGTCACACTGGAAAGTGACTGCCCAGAGCAGCACGGCCCTGCCCTGGCTCGTGTGAGCCCCTGGCTGCCTCGCCGCCCAGTCGGCAAGCTTGCGGCAGAGCACCAGGGGCTTCCCGTTGACTGAAGGAGCAGGGTCTTCCAGCAAGTGCGCCTGCCGAGCCTGCTGGCCTCACGGGCCGCCCTGGGGACATGACAGCATCCACTGTCCCTTCCTGCTACCCCGTGACCTGAGGCCACTCCTACTGTGAGATGGAAGCAGAACACAGGGAGAAATACAACAAAGAGCCAGAAAAGCAAACTTCCAGAGGGGCCTGGACAGCGAGCTGGGTGGGTACTGGGGCCTCTGGCTGACGCCCCCAGGCCCTTCCCAGGGCCCTGGGACCCCTTCTGACAGCAGTGCCTCCTTTGGGAAGGTGGGGCCGTGCTCCCCTCCCCAGTGAGCTGAACAACAAGGCTGTGCCAGAGGCTGACTTCTCCTCCCTGGGCCTCCCTTTCCGGGGTTCTGTGGAGGCCTGGCTCGGCTGGCTCCTGGCTTCCTTCTCAGCCTGCGGGCCCGTTTCCTGGGAAACCCCTGTGTGTCCCGGCAGGAAATCCCCCTTTCCCGTTAGGGGACACAGCTGCTTTCCCCTACTGGCAACCAAGTGCGTCTGAGCCTGAGGTGGAGCGGCCTCGCTGTGAGGGACTGACCACGTGGCGGTGGCCTGGCCCTCATTCCCAGGATGGACAGACTCCCTCCACTTGGGTTCTGTGCATGCAGGATGACCTGTGTGTTCTACAGGCCAGAAGACGAGGAGCACGAACCCCACAGACTCCCGGCCCTGCAGTCCCCGTGAGCGGCACCGGGCCCGTCTCACACCCAGCACCCTCTGAGCTGATTCCAGACTGCACGTTGCAGTGGCTTTCAGCTTCCTTCTGCCACACGCCCTGTGCCGGGCGCTGGGACTTGGAGCAGAGAGGCCCAGCAGCTGCGAGGGGCTGACGGCCCCCGGGAGGGTGTCTCGTGGGCACAGCCCTTGGGGACGAGCGGCCGCACCGCAGGATGGGCCTCACAGGCTCGGCACCAGGGGGCTGCCCATTCCGGAAGCTGCCTTGTCCACCGGCCCCCAGGAACCTCAGCTCTGGGCCCCGGGAGCTCGGAGCTGAACTCCAGCAGGGTGGTCTCTGTGGAGGCCCAGCGGGAGGCCGGCAAGCAGCTAAACCGAGGACAAAAGGCTTAGCTGTGTTTTAAAAGACTAATCTCTGATCACACCCCACAGACTTTGTTCCTCCTCCCAAGCCATCATTAACTATTAATCCAGCTCACAGGCAGGGCAGGGAAACCCAGCTCTTCTGTGCAGAAGGAAGAAAGCCATGGCCTTGCAGAACGCCCAACAAAAGGCGTTGAAAACACAAAGGTGTCAAATCTACCCCAGCTTCACCCCAATTCGGAGGATACTTCGCAATGTTTGTGGAAAAGGCGATTAGAAGATCTATTTGTTTGGTGCAAATTGTGAATTCCACACACCTATTTTTTTTCATAGTATGCATTGTCTGTGAACTTTTGGATGTATCCTGCACGTGTGCACGCGTGTCCCCGTGTGCAGGTGGGATCCCAGGATGCAGGAGGAATAGGCTCTGAGAATACCAGTGAAAAGTGAAGCTGGCAATGCTGCCCAAGGAACCCTTTGATTTGGGATTGATGTGATACCAGATTCAGCCGAGGAAGCCGGGACACCCCACCCCCAGCTGGGTTAACCCAGGATTACGTTCAACCCACAATGATGGTGTCGTAACTTCATGACCCATAATTCAGTGAGAGAGCACGGCTTCCCCAGGGGTTGCTGTAACGCATCCCTGGATTACTGACCGGGTCAGGAGAGGTTAGGGATTCAGTGCCCTTGGCCAAGGAGAAACATGGGAGGACACAACCTCGGGTCTTCAGAATTGAGATGCGTGAGTGTGTTTGCCCACGCCATGAGACACGTGGGCATCCAGGCACTCCCATGGAAAACAGGAAGGCAGCGGTGAATTCCCTGTATTACCCACGTCTCAGCGTCTCGTGAGAGAGGGCTGCTCACCCCGATCCATGACATCTGGAGTGTTGTTCACCCAACACGTTTTCCCATCAGCCCTTCCTCTGAGAACCTCCTGCCGTCCCTCCTGTGGGGCCCCAGGAGCACCCAGTGTCTCTCCCGCAGCCCCTGTGGGACTAGCACACCTCCTGCCATGTGGCCAGCCCTGCAAAGCTCCTGGCGCCCCCGCCGGGCCCGTGGGAGCCGCTGCTGGGGCATCTGACTCCTCTCACCTCATCCACCGCCGCTGACCGTGACACAGTGGCCGCGTTTTCTGTGGGAGGAACCAACACAGAAGGAACCAGAATCTGGAGATGAAGCAAACAGGACCGCTTGGCGACGACAAGTTACACCTCCGACCCAGGCAAGCTCCTGGACCTATCCACTGAATTCCTGCTTGGCGTGCGGGTGATAACCGGGGCTCGGTCTCTCGCAGCCCAGCGTATCCTGGCCGAATGCCATCTACCTACGCGTCTCCTTCTCTCTTTCACTCTTCCACACCATTTGCAGTGACCCAAGAGTTAACTCACCTGTTTGCTCTAACTCACCAGGTCGATTTGCAGCAATAAGCACCAAAAAACCCCAGTGTCTCTCCAGCCGAGAAGGGGAGGGCTCAGACCGGTGAACGTAAATAACAGAAGGCGTTGCTTTTCATGACAGGTTATCAAATTTACGTTCATAAAAAACTGAAATTAAAAGTAAATCAAATCTCACCAGAACAACCGCTATGAGTCAAGATTGATTGACGCAGAGCAGGAGCGTGAAGTGGAAATGCAGGTGGTGCGTTTGGGGGACCAGGGAGAGAAGCAGCGCAGGCTTCTGGGTGTAGCGGATTGAATTAATGCAACCGTGGGCGGAGCCACCAAGCTTGGACTCTTAAGTCAGAGTGGGAAGGAGGGAAAACTGTAGGAGGCTGACAGGGTAAAAAACGCAGACGCAATTCTCACAGACCTCTCTCGACTGCACACTTAGTACAGGGCAAATAGATCCTTCAGCAGTGGAAGAAACAGTGCCAGCAGCCCCTGACTTAACGCGTCCTGGCTATCTCTCTGACATCAGTATTCCTGTAACACACGTGCACGTGCACCACGCCCTCTAGCTCGCTACCCCGCTACTTCGGCGGCTCCACCTCTCGGCTTTCTCTCCTTGGGGTTGCGTGAGCCCGGGCTCCGGTATCCACGGCACCTCCTCTTCTGTGGGTTCCTCTGCACCTGCTGCTCGATTCTGGCTTCCTACCACGTTCTGGCGCTCTACACCTAAACGTGGTGCCAAGTTAGAGTAGGATCAACACCAGCAAGCTGGGGAGAGGCACACACTGTGCGGGCCACTGGCTGGTGGCTCGGGAAGCCACGGAAAGCACTTATGGTGACCAGGACTGCCCTCTGCCCTGCCGGCTCAGGGCTGGATGTCCCTGACTCCATGCCGGAGGTCCAGGAGGGGCCAGGGCTCCCGGCCTGCAGATCACCAAAGGCTGGCGTTTCCTGCTCCTGTCCAGCCTTCTGTCCCTCCCATGCCTCAAACAGCGCCAACCCAGGAACTTCTTCTCCTGCAGCGTGCTGAGTGGAGGTGAGCATCAGCGGAAGGCTGTTTAGAAGTTAAGCACGTCTGTGCTCGGGGCAGAGACCTGCATCCCGAGGAAGCCCACGGCGCAGACCTCCAGGTGGGCTCGGTCGGCTGCTCCTCCAGGCAGGGAACCCCCTGTGAATGTCAAGATTCAGCCCGGCCGCTCCGGGAACGTGGTCCTTGCACCAGAATATGGGTTCTTCGCCTTAGGAAAAGACCCTACCTTTGACTTAAAGATTAAAGACCAAGACTTAAAGACTAAAACATTTTGAAAGGGACTCTTGTCATCTCAATTGCTCTTTCTTTCAGAAGGAATCCAACGTCTTTGACTCAACACAACTCCTTGCAGGCTCACTAGAAACCAAAATGCACACAACGAGCGAGGAATCCGTAGATACGGGGTTAGGTGTGCAGTTGGCAGCCAGAAGATGACCCAGCAGCTGGCTGCACGCCTGGCCCTGGCTCCCATGGCAGTTCATGCCTGGGTTCCTTTCCAGCTTCAGACACCCTGTCCGTCAACCTCTGTCCCACTCAGCTGTGGGTTGCTTTGTATCTCTAGGGACTTGGCCTGACCCCATCCACTCCCCTTCATCCAGCCCTAATGCATCAGCTCCAAAGGCAGGCTAAACACGGGCAGATTCTGATGAGACAGGGGACAGTGTCTACACTCACATAAAGCTTGAATTCAGCGTTCTGTACTTTTTAAAGAGGCACGTATAAAGTTACAAATGTAACTTTATTTGGTAGGAGCCCGGGACTCCATAGTGCTGGGGCTGGCATGTGCTGCCTTCCCAGAAGCCTTAGCGGAAGAGTGGATTGGAAGTGGAGATGCCTGGACTGGAACCCCCACTCCAACATGAGATGCAAACATCCCAGGCTGTGGCTTACCCTGCTGTGCCACAGTGCCCACCCAAATAATCAATGTCTTAAGGTGAGTGATAAAGCCAGCACTCGTGAGAGACACAGTTTCGGGAATTTCAAAGTCAATCAAGTTAGCCAGACACCCAGTCCTCCGCCAGGAGCGCCTGCTTTTCTGCCCCTTGCAGATTCTCTGTAAGAAGCGTGAATTTTCTTCAGCAAACACAGCCAAAGCTAAAGTGAGTTCCAAGGATGCCCAAAGCTGAGAGTTATTCCATGTAGGGTGGAGAAAACAACTTCTGGCAGTATTTAAGTAATGGTATATATCCAGAATGAGATTCTAGGATAACAGCTCTTTTATTTACTTTTGTAAGGTTTATGGCCACACTGTTTACCTCTAAATATTGCACTTGTCCAAGAATTGCAACGGCTATTATCTCCAGAAAATGTGTTCTTACGGCACTTTAGCATGTATTGCTACATATTTAAAAATGTCGACGCTGTCATAAAGCGCGGGCTTGAGATGCATGCGGCGCACACCGCGCCCTTGTGGGAGGGAGCTGTTTGTCCTCTGAGGCAGCACCTGTGTGCAGAGAAAAGCATACAGAGTAGTGAAGAAGGAGGACGTGCACATCCTCCCACAACAAATCCAGCTTTACCCCATCAACTAAGCGGACTGGGTGCTAAGGAGCTTGTTTATACGTAAACACAGGGGAACGTGTGACTCACACCACACGCTGGTCTGTGCACGATGCACCATGCATGCAGTGGCAATGTTAGACGAAAAACCCAACAAGCATTGCCAGAGTTGAAAGCACATGCGTTCGCCCCTCAGTGTGCAGGGGGCTTGGTGGCAGGACCCCCTACAGACGCCCACATACGAAGATGCTCAAGTCCCTTGTAGCGAACAGCCCAGCATTCGATGTGAGCTCTGCATCTCCCCCGCACCCTAGAGCCTCTCCAGACGACTTACGACGTCTAACACAACGCAACTGCCCTGTGAACGCTGTCGCTCTGCACTGTTTGGGGAATAACGACAAGAAGGAAATGTCTGTCCATGTTCAACACAACTACGTGGGAGTAGTTTCGATGCACAGAGAGAAGCCATGGGCAGAGGAGATGTGGGCACGGAAGGGCAGCCGTGTGTTCTGAACCCTGGAAGCCGGCAGCTGGCAGGCCTCAGCTGCAGAGTCAGGGCGCCGCCCTTGTGGAGGCACTCGGCATTCGCAGGCAGCTTTGGGAACGATTGGTTGGGGGCTGGGGACGAGGATTTGGCTCACCCATGGTATTCTGGAGATGTCCCTTGCGGGGCTCTGCTATGTAGTAGTCCTGGTGATGTCTTTTTGGCATTTATGGAGTAACTCAGCGCACCCCAGGCAAAGCATCAGTCTGGAAGTTTCGTCACTACCCACAGAACAGGGAAGTGTGAAATGAAGTGCACCGTAATTAGGCGGATTTCTCAACTTGAGGAAAATACTGGAGGTGCGTGGCTGCGCGTGAGGCTCCTCAGTGGTCGCGTGGACACAGGCGGCCAGGAGGCCGTGGGATCGGGCATCAGCCTGGGCTGCAGCCACCCAGCCCGGACACCCCCGGCTCCTGCTCTTGGTGCGGATGCACTAGAAGTGCATTCCTGGGGGTGCTGGGAACAGGAGCGCAGCAGTTGCTGACACAGCTGTAGGCCAGAGGGGCTGTGAACTTGAACCTGCGCCCAAGCCCGGGCAAGGTCCAAGGGGCCCAGACGGCTGGCGTCTCAAGGAAAGTGCCTCCCAGTCTTCCATCTGCAAGCCCACCACCCTCGCTGAGGGCCTCTCTGACATGGGAGAGGTTCCAGGAAGTTCAAGGCTGACAGATTTGCTCCCCTGGCTTCCAGTTGGAGCTTTATCCTCTCCTCCAGCCCAAAGGGGACATTTGATCACCCCCAGGATAAAACAGTGTGCGTGGCAAAATGCCCATTAATTTGGGAGGCCCAGGACCATGTACTGACCAAACCAGGAGGGGCCAAAGAGAGCCGCCTGCAGACACACCTGGCCCAAAGGCCCCTGAGCGCTCAAACTCCAGGTGTGGACAAAGCCAAGATTCCGCTGTTCCAATGGTCTCCAGGGGCACTGCTCTTGCTGGCCACACTTGGAGGACCAAGATTCTAGAAACTCTGGATCTTTCGAGAAAGTCCAAGTGCTGACACAAGAATTTGGGGGAGGTGGGTCTCTCGCTTGCCTCTTGTTTAGTTTTACTTTGTCACTCATTTAATAAATAATCTTCTAGAGAACAATTATCAGTAGGTCGCCTACGCCACCTGCTCTTTTCTATAGATTGGTGGGGATTTGCCTCAAAGACAGAGTTTAAATTGATCAGTTCTCATACAAAGCGCTAGCAAAACACCTCTGCCTGAAGTCATCAGTATCTGGTAGCTATTAGCCGTGGTGACAAGTGATAATGTGTGGGTACCGCCTCGCTTGGAGCTTGTTAATACGTGGGAGTAGACGCGGTCTGGGTCCCGGGCCTTGCAGGGCAGCCTCACGGCCAGGCCACGGCCTCCACGGCAGCGGTCGGAAGCCACTTGGCCCACCGCAGAGGCCGGCTGCCAGGCGCAGTCAGGCAAGTCTTTCTCTTCGGGTCGCCTCATCCGTCAACAGGCCGCTGGGCACGTGAGGAGGGGCCCGGGGCCTCCAGGGACGGCTCTTGGCTTCCGAGCGGCAGCGAGGGCCCTTCGGAAGCAGGCTGAGAGGCAGAGGCGGGCGTTCGAGCAGCGGGGGCACAGACTCTTCCGCAAGGGCCCACGCGGACCGAGACGTCAGCCGACGTCTTGCCCGTGAAGAGTTCCCGGGACAAATCGTGCAGCACCGCGATCTGCAGCAGTCGGGATCAGGCGGCCCAAGCGTTCAGAATTGAAAACGAAATCCCGGGCCACGTCCCCGGGGGCCTCCTCCTGAGGAGCCGGGTCCCGATGCGAGCCGGGGGCTGATGGGAGCAGAGGGGATGCGCGTGCCACTCCCTGGAAAAGACCAGAAGCAGAGGGGCGCCCGTTCCACACCAGCCAAAGGGCGCGCCACGGGGCAGGGGCTTGGCGGGGGCTCCCGGCTGCGCGCGCCGTGCCCACGCCCACGCCCCAGTCCCAGTCAAGGGGCAACAAAGCATTTGACAACAAGATCTATTAGACTGCAGAGTGGACTTCCGGAAGGAGTGGGCGTGCTCCGCCCTGGGACCTTCCTAATGAAACAAGACAACCCATTCCAGGGGCGGTTTCTCTGCTTCCAGTCCCTGGATTTAACTGGGCGGCTTAACACACCCCGGGCGACACCACGGAAGCTCTTCCCGGGAAAGCAAAACACAAGCAGGCGGTACGGTGCCACCCGCTCCCTCTCCTGCCTTCTTCCTTTGACCTGGATGACCAAGAGCCGGAGCCACCCAGCGCGGGGAAGGCAGAGAGCGGCTCCCCGGGGCCCCTCGGTGGGCAGTAGAACAAGATGGCTGTGCGCTCGCATACATTCTGGCCGTGGGCCACCAGATGTGGGACGGTGTCCACGATGCTCTGTCAGTAAATGAGACAGGACTGTCAGCGCAGCTCGGCAGTTCACACCACCGCCACCCACACAGGCGGAGGCCGCTGAAGGTGCAAGGGTCCCGCGGGATCCGACGCAGGTGGTGCGCCGTCCCCAGCATTCCTTCTCTGCAACCCACCATGCAAGTGTCCCTCAGCTGGAAACTCCCACAGCCTCGTGTGTCCAGTCTGTAAACACTAATTGCTTCCGCGGTTGCACGGCACCACTTTTGAGAGGAAAAAGGGCTTTTTTAAAAAACCTTGCTACAAAATATATGCAGAATTTGTTTTCCAATGAACGCCTAATAAGGCTACCTCTTAAGTCTAGATATGTAAAAAATTGCCCTTTTCACAGCTGATAAAATACAAATTAATCCTTAGAGGATTTAATATGTGCCTATTTATTACTTTCAAATCTGAACGCTCCACGGCAATTAATATGGCTCCCATTAGCCTCTGAGAAAATCAGTAACTTTGCCTTTGAAACTAGAAATAAACGCAACGTTGGCCCCATTCTCGATGCTGCCTGCTTTGTGTGTGTGTGTGTCTGTGTGTGTGTGCGTGCGTGCGTTTACTCTCAGATGTGCTGAAGAGGTGTGATTGGTCCCTTCAGAAGACCACAATTGCCAAAGCTCCTGTGTAGTTAGAGCTCCTAGAATCAATTTGAGTTCCAAGAGCTTGAAACTGCAGTGTCTTCGGGGTATGAGATAATGTTTGTATGCAACTGCAAGGGCAGTTTATTATGAGAAATGAAAACATTTTAAAAATTAAAGAAACATTTTTCCTGTGTTCACAGCTCATTGTGTTGGTTTAACCCTCACACTTAACCTCTGCAGTTCATTTCATAAACTCGCCTTCCATTTATTTTTGCATGCACGCAGTTAACCCTTGGTTCGCAAGGCTTTTCAGAGCGCTGGTGCACTCCTCCCGCCCCCGGGAGGGCGTGGGGGGGCTGCAGCCCTGTGCGGTGACATTTGCAGAAGCCTGAGTCGTCCCTGCTTCCTAAACCTGCCTCCCTAGACAGCCACTCGTGTCCTTTGTCACCAACTGAACCCAGGCATCCGTGGCCATCACAGCCTATGGTGTGAGCCACACGAAAGTTTAAATCTGTGTGATATTTTTACCCAATCACCTTTCTCCTGGTGGATGCCAAGTACTCTTCAAAATAAGCCCCACTTGTGTTTAATGCGGGGCCCCCAATTATAATCAGACAAACACACACAAAAAGGTCATTTTATTTTCTGCTTCAGAAATGAACCCTCCTAATTGCCACAGCATTCATTCCCTCGGTGCAAGCCCACCGGGCAGGTTCTCTGCTCGTTGTTTTAGGCGAGGGTGTCTATTTGATATTCTGCCTTTGTGTGTTCATCAGCGAAAGTCTATATAATTTCCGGTAATGGTCTGGGTTTATTTACAATTTCAGCAGTCGTATTTGTTTAGGCTAAGAGAATGCCTCTGTGGAGTTGAGGAGGGCAGTCCTCTGCTCTGAGAATTATGCCACCTCTTCTGTCCCATTGCAGCCCATGGAGTTCTTCTGACAGCACGAACAAATCTGCATAAGGAAAAGTAAGTGACAGCTGGGGTCCGGCTCTCTCTGTTTAATGACACTGCCAGTTACACATTTTGAATTGTTTAAATATGAGTCTGCAGCTCCCACAATCATCATTTCACTGGATCCACTTTTCATACCCAACAGCCAGGAAACTGACACGTAATTACACACTTGCTGATAGCATCGCGGCGCCGATAATTAAAACTGCCACCCGAGGATTGCGACTGCTAGTCTACAGCTGGGCTGTTGTCAGGAGGCAGGGACTCCAGCGGCTTTTAGCGCTGATCCTTACAGGTGGACCTCGGGTCCCCGCGCCGGAGGAACCGGCCAGCCCTGCACATCATTCGCAGTGTCTCGCACAAACGAAGAAAATCTATTAACAATCCAATAAGTGAAATACAAACACGATGACCCAAGGGTTAAACTGTCTGGCTGGACGCAGGAGCGGGACCTGTTAGGTATTGTTCTTTTCTCTTGCTGTATTTACTGAGATCGCCCGGCCGTCTCCCGCCTCTGCCCGCGGCTCTGGGTTCTCAGTAGCTCACCGTCCTGCTTGGCTCCACGCCAAGGATGGGAGGCGACTATGAAAAAGTTATCAGAACTTGAAACCCTTACAAGTTCATTAACTAAAACCAGTTTTCCTTCTTGGGAGGAAACGAGATTGGGGTGGAAGGGGATGGAGATGGGGCGTTCAGACCTCCCTGGGGGTTGAGAATCATCCCCACTCCTGCCCACGGTAGGGTCCCGCGGATGGCTCACGGCGGGGTGCTTTCTGATGACCCAGTTTCTCCCTAGCCACGAGGTTCACAGAGCAAGGGCAGGGCGTGGAGCGTTGCTACAGTAACCTTGGTAGGGTAGGCAGAGAGTGCTGAAAAGACAGGAGCCGTGGGGAGAAGGCGGGAGCTGGGGTTTATGAATGCTAAACAGTAAAATATCAGAAAAGGAAGCTGGAAAAGTTAAAGCTGTCGTAGACAAGTGATAATCCAAATTTTAATAGGCCCCGACAGCTTGGCAGAGCAGCTTTGCCGAGAATGAACTATATTTATGCAATTCCGAAATGCGCAAGGGATCCGTGGTGTGCAGTGCACTCCTGATCACCAGTGGGGCCGCTCTGGGTGTCCTTCACCACCCACCCCCGGCACATGCGCCCTGTGAGATGAAGGCAGGTCATCTGCCCGCACCCTGAACTGAGCTCGGAGTGGCTGTCACACGGCAGGGCCAAACTGACCTTGTGCAGGGCCAGGATTCCCTGAGACCCTCTCCAGGCTGACCTGCCACCCGGATTTGCAGGAACTAAGCTGCTCCCAGAACTCGGGATGTGCGATGTCACAACCGAGGAGTCCCAGGCCACCCAGGACACACTGGTCGCCTGCCTGCTCCAGTTCTCTAATATTAAGGAGCAAATTGGATTGGCTTTTCTTTGGCCTTCTATATGCCCTAGTGCCAAATCACAGAATTACAAATTTGGGGCTTCTGGGGCTGGGCATTCTCATCCGGGAGGAGACATGCTGAGGAGCGCAGTGCACTTCCTGGAAGCCCTCGTTTAAATCTGTTGGCATACAAAGCATTTTTGTAGGAAAGCCACAAGGATAAACTATACAGTGAACTCTGAAGGAGACACACTCGCTCTGTGAGGACGTTTGCTGTTTGGGTGGGTGGACAGCCAGGCGTCAGCCCACAGCTCTGCACTTGACGGATGCAACAGAACTGAGCAGTGCCTACTTTGCGCCCTTCATGCCACAGGGGAGGAAGGACTCGACCCACAGCACCTGCTAAGGTTCCCAAGGCTTCTTCTCCCGACCCCTAAGTCTTCCAGGGAAAGAGGCATGCCCGGGGCAGCAGGTGCTGCCCTGCCTGGCTCTGAGGACCCCAGCAGGCCTGGGCAGCCTCGTCTGCGAATGGTGATGTCGCAGCATCCACAAGGCCACTGTGAGAGTCAAGAGTGACCACGATGGTGCAGCCCATCAGCCTGGTGCTCGGCTGCTGTCAGATGATTTGCTGATGGTTTGGAATCTCGGAGGAAGAAGCATTGAAACTGTTTTAGGCACTCACACTTCACAGGTAGGAAATGGTAAATTGACTGTGATCAGCACAGAAATCTCATCGCATTTCTGCAAATCGGCGTTCTCTTAAAGCACATGCACAGCAAGATCTCATTGGTCAAGGAAGAGCCCGTGCGTGTCAGCGCTGCAGCGTAGCGCGTAAAGCCGCCGTCGGCAGCGTAGCAGGTAAAGCCACCGTCTGCAGCGCCGGCGTCCCATATGGGTGCTGATTCCAGTCCCAGCTGTTCCACTTCCGATCCAGCTCTCTGCTATGGCCTGGGAAAGCAGTACAAGATGGCCCAAGTCCTTGGGCCCCTGCACCCATGTGGGAGACCTGGAAGAAGCTCCTGGATCCCCAGTTCAGATCAGCTCACCTCTGGCCATTGCAGACATTTGGGCAGTGAACAGTGGATGGAAGACCTCTCTCTCTCTCTCTCTCTCTGCCTCTGCCTCTGCCTCTCTGTAACTCTGCCTTTCAAATTAATAAATAAATCTTTAAAAATAAAAAGAGCACGCACACCTTTCCTAGAATATTTTCATGATATTTATGTGCCATTTACATTTATTATTATACTTGTGCTGCGTTAGCTCAAAAAGTAAAAGGTTTTCAACAATTATTAATTATCTTATTGTGTGCTGAATAGTAATTTTATTTTATGTTTAAAAATAAGTTTTAACAATCAATAATTTTAAAATTTTATTAAGCAAATACACAGGGATTGGTGTTTTGCATAGCAGGTAACTCCACTGACTGTAATGCTGGCATCCCATATGGATGCTGGTTTGAGTCCCAGCTGCTCCAATTCTGATCCAGCTCTCTGCTATGACCTGGGAAAGCAGCAGATGATGGCCCAAATGCTTAGGCCTCTGCACCCACATGAGAGACCCAGAAGAAGCTCCTGATTCCTGGTTTGGCGTGGCCCTGCCCCAGCCATTGCAGCCATTTGTGGGTGAACCAGCAGGTAGAAGATCTCTCTCTCCCCCCCCTCTCTCTTTCTCTGTGTGTGTGTGTCTTTCTCTATCTGTATAACTCTGACTTTCAAATAAATAAATAAATCTTTTAAAAAAAAAAAAGAAAAGAACATACATACCCCAACACAATGAATGCTAAGAATGAACAGGACTCCTATAAAAAGATACAGTAGGAATGTGAACCCGTCAGGTGCTGATTCTAACAAGCATCCGAAAATCATCTGAGTAGGGCAGGTTGTTGCCCCAGCAGTTGTAGTGCTGCCTGGGATATCGCATCGCCATGGGAATCCTGGGACCCATCCCTGTTCAACTTCCCGTAAGGCACACCCTGGAGGCGGCAGTGATGGCTCAAGTACTCTGGTCCCTGCCACCCACATGAGACTCAGATTGAGCCCCTGGCTCCTGGCTGCAGCCCATGCAGTCCAAGCTGCCGGCTTCCACCTGGTCCAGTCTAGGGTGTTGTGAGCCTTTGAGGAGTAACCCAGCA